CTGCCCGCGCCGCCTCCTGCGCCCAGCCCGAGCACATCGGATGCACCGTCCCGTCGCCGCTGATGGACTTTCATTAGTCGAAACCAGCTTCGCCTTTTGTTTTTCTCCTTGTTGTTTTTTTACATTCCCTCCTGTTGCCTTTTCAGGAGGAGGAGGAATGAGGCGTGGGAGGGGGGGGGTTAGAAAAATGATCAAGGAATAGCTCGAACATCTCTGTATAAGCTTCTTACTTGAAGAGGTTCTCCGCGCCAGCGCGCAGCCTCAGCTCCTTGTTGATTTCCTGATTGAGCCTGGACCGCTTGTTCTGCAGCTTCCCCCGACATGTCGCCACCCTAGGGTCGGAGCCCTGCAAAACAAAACGACAAACAAAATTATGCGGGGAAATACAGAAATATTTGTTTTGTACAATTTTGTATATATTTTCTAAATGGCAGTATAACTAAACGGAATCGCACAACGGATCGACTTTCTGCCTGCAAAAATTGTGTGTGTACTTAGAAGGCCTCCTGTATTAAGAGAAACAGTGTACTAACACCTTGCGGCGCCGGTGGACTTTTTGCATTACAATTGCGGCGCGGCGGTGCCATTTCCTCGTCATTATTAAATAAGATGAAAGATATTTTCGCGACTCGGCGAGGAGGGGCCCTCCTGGAGCTGTTGGCTACGGGGCCGAGGGGCCAGGTCCGGCCCTGCGCTGCTACCACCGGAGATCGCAATCGACAGCCCCTCCCCCCCCCACCTCTATCTCCCGCTTCCCGCACCAACCGCGCCAAATACGGGCCGCGCTTCCTCGTAAACACGGAGCACAGGGCTCGACTCTAGGTTCGACTCCCGTCACCGTCCTCTATACAGTACACTCTAAAAGTAAAGGGACAATTTTGTCCGTGGTAATGGAACGGTGTTCACGGGAAAATTTTACATGATGCCTGTCGTAAAATTGCAAATTTGCAAATTTTAATTTTACAAGCACTTCGCGTTTATTTGGAATTGGTTGACAAGCAAAATTGTGCTGTCGTAAGTTTGTTAACAACAAATTCTGAAAATGAAAATTACAACAAATGTAAATTTACGAGGATTTTTTTACAGTGCTATAGCACTCCCGTACGAAAAAGTTTAGTCCGGCATCAGTCCGTTTTCGGTCCGGAAAGAGTCCGGCTGGACAGTCCGTCATCAGTCCGCCAAAGCG